CGGGATCGAAATGAACGGTTGCAGGAACTGAGACAACGGAAGTAAAAGCGGTTAAGTCTAACGGTATGCCACCATGAACGACGCGTTTCTTTACGGAAAAATTTCGAATTCTGAAATAACTAAGCGCTGCCCATAGATAAAATGTTTTTGAATTATTTTTGCTTCTAAGCATTAATACAAAGTAAATAACTAGATTACTAAGAAAAAGACAAGTTGGTAGAAATTATATAATCTTCAACGAGAGGATACATATTCGAGAATATGAGTTCTTTTCTGTAGCATCTGGCTGCTTTGGTGTGTGTTGCAGAGCGCAAAGGTTTTCAATACCTGCTACTACTAAGCAGCAAGAGAAACCGTTTCGATTTCTCTGCATTCCCATGCTGTGTGCCTTCGTCGAAAATGATTTGTACTACACCGTATAATTAAATGCAAACGTGCTCTATTGAGGGACAACCTCAAAATACCGTATGATTAATGAAGAACAAGTTTAGTCGGAGCGCTGACCAACAGCTCGTACAGCGCCTCGTTTATCGTACTCAAATTCTTCCGCGAAGGCAACACGTTCGGCCCACCAAGAATGGTCGTCGGCTACGGCTTCAAAGTTGGCAAGAATGGAACCTTCACCATTCACAGCAGCAACTCGCCGAACTCAGAACCATGTAAGTACTCCGCAAGAACAAGGCTATGCCCTGTGTGTAACAAGAGATTGGTTGACTTTAGTTATGGTCGTTAAACTTGGCCCCCTGAACGAGAACAACCAGTACGAATACGCTGTCATATCAAACTGGATTCGCTATCCCGTTTATGTACTAGCAAGAGACCCGGAAAGGTAACTATTCATCGCCAGCAAGTAATTCTAATTTAACTGAACGCTCGCTACTCTAGATTTGCGAAGTACTATATGAGGAATGTGCTTCAGTTCATGGAAGAAAAGCGTAAGTACATTATTGGCCATTTTGAAATATCAAAACGAAAGAGTGATAAAGGATTCATAAATGACCCAGCAGGTGGTATTTAGAGATGAGCGGTTTCAGTTTCCCACACTGCATCCAATGTCGACAGCTTTCCAGATTTTTAATAGCTATGGGATGATATAACGGTTGAGCAGCTCAGAATGCCATTTCCTCAAATACTGAGATGACTGCGAGAGCTGGCTGACTCAGAGGTCGTGAGAGGCACTCTAGCAAAAAAATTTTATGCCATAATTTTTTTTAATTGCCATCCCAAGTTCTGTCTCCTTTTCACCAGTAGTTGCAATATTTTCGTGGACTTCTATCCGGCGTTAACAGGCTGATATTGCGTCAACAAGCATCTTATATCCCAAAGAAGCTGAACTAGTTCGGAAACCAAAACCTTGAACTCATTGTGGTCGTAAGCTACTTTCTATATAGTAGATAAATGATGACCATTTCAAGGAAAGAAGCAGATCACTGCCCAGCTTATTCAGCTTTAGACATGGCTTTTAAAAAAGAGCAACAACTTTTGGTTTCGGTTGATGTGTTCGAAACTGATATTGGACCTGCCTCATTCCATTCCATGATAGAAGTTCAGAGAAATCGACTCCTCAACGATTAAAAACTGAAAGCAGATAGCTACACTGAAGATATGAGGAAAATCTGGAGACAGTTTATGACCTGAATAATGCTTTGTTGACGAATATTACCGAAGGACAAGGGACGACAGTTTGATAATCACTTCCATCGCGTGATCCTGAACTGTGAGCAGTAATGCTTCTCACATTTCTGGCGTTTGACTCCCATCGCTGAAGGTGACACACTGGAAAATATCAGTAGTGTAGAAACGCTTTTAGGAATAACATTGAAATTTGACCCGTAAAGTGGTTGAAGAATGATACGAGTAGTTTCGAATCACTTTCATAAAAAGCTTATAAAACATTTCTGTTCTTCCAGAAAAGAGCTCCTGCCAGTCACCCTCCGCTAAGCCGCAAACTGGTGTTCATTCGTGATATTCTTCAAGCCTGAATACTCACTCATCAACAGTTGACTTCCTGCTTAAGCAAACAGGTGCTTGACACTGGAATGATTCTGGCGATTTGTAAAATCTTCTACATTATTCGAATCCTTGGTCCTTCATCACAGAGTGTAATATTAACTCATGTTTCGCATGCACAAACCTTCCTAACTGTCTTCCATCCAATTTCTCACTTTCGCTTCTTCAAAGGTGCTACCAACCATCATTCGGTGTGCGATTCTCAGTTCAGTGAGAGGCCGTAACGACGAACAATAAAAAAGTTTTGATTTCCTCTCAGCAAAATTTTCCAAATACGTCGTGTCCTCCAATTCTCTGAATAGACAGTGCCAATGAAAGAGTACGTTTCCAATCAGTGGTACAATACCAAAAATTTCATGAGATAATTTTCAAGACTAATATTCAAGCGATCTTCAACAGTGATAGCTAGTTATCTTCGGTTTCATGAGAGATAATAGAGTGCATCACCTTTCGCTTTCCTTCTTTAAGAATTTCCTATAATTAGAAGAAATGTCATATTTTCAAATTTGATCGTCATTAGCTTCCTGTCACGTCATTTATCTACTTTGTTGTTGCTGCTGTTGTTTTGTGATTGTCATCTGAGGTTAACAGGGCTTAAACAGCAGAGTAACCTAGATTTATGATATCTAACCGTTACAAATGACACTTTAGATTGATATTAGGCAAAATATACTGTTGTTGCAAAGGTCACATTACTCTGCGCAAGCAGGTCTGCCTCAATGAGGTTTTTTATTTCAACAGTTTGCATTGCCATCTCATGGGTCTGCGGCCATTGCACAGTTCCTAAGAGAGAAAAGTTTTGAATATATTTCCTTCATCTTTTTGGACCCGTGGTATCAAACCAAGCTTAGCACTGATCTTTAAATTCATCAAATAGTGGCTATCAGTTCCTACTCATTCCTGACCCGGGGGAACCTCCTCGCTTTGATCACACAGCGTCATTTCAAGTTGCCTAAGTGAGCTTTAAGATTGCAGATGTTCTGAGACCCGACATAAGCACCATAAAATATGGATGCTTTCAAAATGGCGATAATTTTGCCCGTTCTACTAGGCTGAGCTGTCCACACAATATAGCTTTCCACAATTCGCTGATGCCAGTTCGATACGTCGATTCACTTCAGGATCAATGAAGCCATCAGTAGTCCACACGGTTCCATCTTATTTGAAAGTATTCACTTCGTCCATCGTAATACTGTTTCATAACATCTTTCGATTGCCGGTAACGGAGGGGGACTGTCATAATTTTAGATTTTTTCGTGTTCGCTTATAACCCTTCCCATAGCGGCGCTGCACAAGCTTTCAGCGAATATCATTAGGCCACTGGCGGGTTCGCCAGCACCGACACGAAGTTCATTATTTGATAGTTGGTATCCCGCGTTTCTACCAGTCTTCGCGGATCACGGACTTCTGCTTGATTCGAAAAAAACGCCAAATGAATCGAGTGGATAAGGTTTTCAACTTTGTACATTAAGATCTATACTCCTCTCTCCCCCCCGCAAACCCGTCTTATCTACAGCACTTCGAGCTTCGGCAGAGTCATATCGTCTCTCGGATCTCTTCGATCGATGCTGCCGCGCAGTCAACCTGTAGATCTTTTCCAACTTCCTTTTCCAGTTGGAGATTTACCGGAGGATCATGCTCACTGAGTAGCCCTACAAACTGCCCAACCAATCGTTTCTAACGACCATCAGGAGTCTTGCCGCCTGGAACTTCTAGGCGCGATCGATGCATCTGAAAATTCAACTACGATTATGGCCACATTGTTTAGTCAACGTCAGTCTCTAACTTTAAAGATTGTGAGCTTTATAAATCCTGCCCTCTCACTACGAATGTTCTTCCATTAACATAGTTAACAGCTGAGAAACCGGTTGACAACCGCCATTGCATGATATTCCTTGATCTTTATGAACCACGGCGTATGAACATTATTAAATATATCACAACTTCCCTTGCTTCTACTAGTCTAGGAGACCGTTTAAATAACAGTTTGTTAGTAAATTTCGTATATAAAGATTACTTATTTCCTTCAGTTTCCTTACGCCAACCGTCTACTTCTCTGATGCTCTTCCGGTCCAGCAAATGAGTCATTTTTTAAAGAAAGTAACGGCATAGTGTAAAGATTTCACTAATCATATTTTCTTCAGAACTGAAACAGATGTAGCCAAAACCCAACTTTCCACTTTATCGTAAAGATGCTCCTACTGTAAGATAGACTTAATTTAAGTTGCTTCGTTAACCGGTCCTTGAATGATTTATGCATGCTTTCATGGACAGGAAAGATACTCGTTTTTCGGCTGTAAAGCAAATATCATAGTATCTGTTCCTATCAGCTTAACCGTACGTCGAACAAGCAACCAATCTCTGATTTCTGTCAATGCTTCCCGCGGGGTAGATATGTGGGTCTGATCTGTGCAGAACCTTCCTGCAGTCTGGCACAGATAGGGAATTTATATAACAGACAATAAATAGATAACCAACAAGTAAAAAGTAGGTAAAGACTAGCACAGAATCCACATTTTTCTCTGAGCACGTAATTAAATATGAGGGCATCCACCCTCCAGACTAGAGATTTTGTAACTAGAGTACCATATAAACACTATTTATTACAACTGTTTTACTTTGTTGTCAAAACCTAAGAGAGCCTAAGCAGCAGATAAACCCAGATTTACGAATTTTGAAACGATATCTCAGATTGAGGTCATGCCTTCTTTACTGCTGCGCAAAGATAATACACCTCATAGCCACTCAGACCTACCTCAATGATGTTTCTGGGTATTGCATTGCCCGCAAATGTGTCTAAGACCTATTGGCAGCTTTCATGTGAGTAAAGCCCTGAAAAATTTTTCTTTCAGGATCGGGTCATCACTGAGGTTAGACACCATTGGTATTTCGTCAGAAAATCGATTAATACAACGATTCACCCACTGTCTCACAGGCCTTCGAGAGTCTGTTGGAAACGACTTCGTTGACTGTAGCACTGATTTGCCTAGCGGTACGGCGAGCTGCTCTTCTCTTTAATACATTTCCGGTGAGAGGAAACATGCTCATCCAATCGGCGAACACTTCCCATCCTATCAGTTGATAATTAAACGGAGTAGCGCTTAGTAATTTCTTATGCCACATTTCAAAACGTTACCACGCATAAACAAAACATTCAATCCTTTAACACTAGGTTTGTAATTTTCGAGACTTCAGTATAAGTTTCGAGAAGCTGATTGTGTCGCTTTCCCCACTGGAAAGATTGTAAATGAAAGAAAAGCAATTAAATGCTTCGAAAATTTAAGCCGCCGCTAAGATGTTTAAAAATTGATGCATAAATTTAACGGCAAAATTTTTTCGCTAAGGTTAAAAACAGCATTTCATTCGCCTGTACGAAAATCTGTGCTTAACGGAGTACATTTTTTAGGTTATATAAACACGATTACCAAAGCACTCCATCTCATCGCGCCCGTCAGCTACGAAGAATGCCAATACACGCCGATTTTCAAGTAGCGTACACGAACGATTAGTAAAATGCACGTGTACAGCCTGTATCATATTTATATAAATGTACAAATAAATAATCAATAAACATGCCTTGGGTATCATTCAACAACCGAATAAAGGTGAATTCAGGCAGAAACACGAAGAAGCCATAAAGTCCAGCATTTAATATACAAAATTCAGCAATGGTAAATGCCAAGAATAAAAAGCTAAAATCAAAAGAATAAAACAACGAGTCGCCAAAACACGACCATAAAACGGTGTCGGCAAACGATGACGGATTCAAGTGAGTATATACGTGAAGTTAAAACGGCAACAGTAAAAAATAAAAACATGTGAGTACGAAATACAAGTTCTGCTTCACTGCGGTGTTTTTATTCAATAAACGAGCCTCTCCCGGATCGCTTGACAGAGCATGCAAGAAAAAATCATCGCCAATATCTAAAAGAAAGAAAAAATATAGCGCAAAAATTAAAACACTAAAAAACTTTAAAATCGTCAAATCACTTAAGCGAGCAAATAATTATATACTAAAAAATATGTGAAGCATCACTTACCTCAATCACCAACACCGCAATGGCAACAGCCGCAACGATGTTCGCATTTGATTCAAAAAGTCTGATAAAATAATCGGCGCAACCCTAAGCCAAACAAAATAATATTATATCACAACACGAATATAACACAAAATAGTGAATATCGTATCTACATACCTGTTTTGGTCCGCTTGCACAATCACACGATTCTGGGGGTAAAACATAATTATCGCATCCAGTTGCTCCGCAACAGTGGAACTAAAGACAAACCGCGAATTAGCCAACTTTTTTTTATCAAAACGCACTCGAGAAATTACGAAGGATATACAAATTTGAACAGTATAAGAATGGAAATCTGCGATATGGCAACATGGAAGTTTTTCTGAAGATCAGGTTAGCATGCTTGAAGCTTCAGAACGTGTCTTTGTCAGAAGAAATGATGACTCTGCTGTTTGAAAGCTTCAAAGATCATTCCTAAACCAAATCGCCACAGAACCTTATTTTTCGTGATAAATAAAATACCAATAATTTTTCGTGATACCAATTTTTCGTAATAAATAAAATACCAAAAACATAACTGTACAGTAGAATCTCAAAAACAGCACAATCACATAACTTACGAAAGAATCACGCCGTCTAAGGCAACAGCTTGTGAGAAAAACCTGTTCTCGTTTCTATTCGTCAGCCATAATTAGGACACAAATTGTCCAGCTAAACGAGTCTGGGAACTGCCATAGCTTCCGTTGGGGTCAACAGAAGGCAAAAAACATCAGGTCAGTAATTATTTTTTTACTAGAAACTTCACGACTGTCACAGTAACAGGAGCTTCAAGAGGTTTACACCTCAGGTTGAACTTAAAGTCAAAAGCTTCCTGTACTGACTGATATATTTTCATGCATTGTTTAGGATGGAATCAGGGTCCATCTGAAAAATGGACAGACTGCCTGATTAAACAGTAATACATTACGAAGTCATATCTTCACTATGGCACAGCTTACAAAATCAGCTACAAAACGTTCGTCGTGCAGCTGCAATGCATCTGGCGAACATGACAGCTGATTTGATTGTTACAAGTTGTTATATGTAAATCAAATTGATACTGATTAGCTGCTAACATTTCAACCTTGACCAAAGGCATAGCAAGCCCTACAGAAAGCGAATAAGAGTAAAACAGCTGAAATGGACTGAACATCCGGCATCACCATCTTCCTGAATACAGGTCGCAGAGGTAGCAACTGTGAAGGAATCCTGATTAACAACTTGGACAGAATAACGAACTGAATGTGAACGGATGTCTAACGGATCATACAGTTTCCAGCCGCTGTTTTACTCTTGCTTCGAAGGATCATTAAATATTGAAAATACAGATACGACCGTAACTTGATCTACCATGGTTTGAATGACGTTAT